TCCCACCACACCAGAAGCAGCAACTTCACTAAGCCGTGGGGACAGGGGCTTCTAAAGCCTGCCACAAAGTGAGGCGCAAATGACACACTGTGGGCAGGGACAGTTGTTTCTTAGATCTCATGGGCAGAAGACCAGAGAAATCCATCCTTTTTTTGCTGGTTACCTTGGCCCAGACTTTGCTGGCCCAGGTTGCGGCCAGCCGGTGTTGGGGTGGCGCAGGACCAGCCCAGGCTCATCCCAAATTCCTGGTCACACCACTCCTGCTGCAAATTCATCTGGTGGTGCTGAGGCTCCTCATTGGGCTCAGCTGTGCCGAGGAGGGGTCTGCCGGGGAGCGGAGCAGCTCACGCTCTGGGGGTTGCCCTGCGAGCAAAGGGGGTTCCTCAGCGGGTGGGACTGCGGCCCCTCCTGACCCGCCATGCCCCTGAGGAGGGTGAGTCTCTGCACTCCTGATATATTGGGGATTTTGTGTGTTTCTGGTGGGTGTCTGACCTCCGGAGGGTTGGGGTGTGCCGGTCGGCAGAGGTTCTGCAGCAAAAGATGTCAGCTGGGCTGCGTTGAGCCCGATTTCTCAACAGGAGGGTGAGGCTCTCGCTCTTCTGGGTCTGCAGCTGGGGTTGCCTCCTCCTGGTGGGCTCCGGGCTCTTTGGTGGCCCAAGGGCCTGTGGCACCCACCCTGCCAGAGAGCTGGGGCCGGTAACGCTGCCGGGGCGATGCCACCGCCCGGAGGGGTGAAGTGGGGAGAAAAAGCCAATGTTAAAAGAACGACGACGAAGACCAAAAGCGTCGCCCTGCGCCGCTTCCCCCAGGCATCGCTGCTGCCGCGTCCCTCTGCGTGAACTCGCGTGTCTCTGCATCCGTCTTATCCCGAGCGCAGGTAAAGTCCCGAGATCGGATGACTTTGGATTAAAGGCACCTTTACGGGGCTGGGGGAGGAGGGGTGCTGCCTTCCCGCTGAGTCCCCGCGGAGCGAGGGCTCTGTCCCCCTTGGGTTTGGCGTTTACCTGGGCTGTGCGGTGCTCTGGCAGCTGCCAAAACCTGGGGAGGCCGTTAAACAAGCGGGCTAATCTCTGTGTTTGGTGGCTGCTTGTGGCGCTCTGAGCACAATAAGGGATTAACTTGGTCTTTATCTAATGGGCTTATAAACCAGGGAAGGGAGAATCGCTTTGTAATGCATGAAACCTCCTCTTAATAGAAACTCGGAGAGGAGAGCCTGAGTGTCCTTCCTAAGTAAACTCGTACACATCTCCTCCTGTTTAACTCTCTGTTTGCTGGAACTGAGCTTTTCTGGGTGTTAAGTATTTGTTCTCCGGTTCCCAACAACTTATTGCTGACTTGT